GGGCAACCCGCGAAGCCCGCGGGTTACACCGCCTTGGCCCGTGAACCGCCCGCGCGGGTCACGGGGCGGCCCGCGGGCTCGATTTTCACGGGCCGGTTTTTACGGGTCATGGCCGGCCCGTCCGTCTTGACACCTCTAGATAATACCAAGCTGGCCTGCACACCACTTTAAAAATGCTTAATTTGGAAGCAATCCGAAAGAGATTTTTTTTTAGCAGAAAGGATTATATGTATATTTTTTAAAGGATGACTGAGAGGTGCTTATTAGTCGGTTTAAATTATAAATAAATAAAAATGAGCGATGGATAAACAATTAGTACTTATGATTCATCGAAATTTATGAATACAAAGTGACTTGAGAGTTTATAAACATGAGCCAAATGTAAGCTTAGACCTTGTCTGGGAGTCATTTTGTTACGAAAAATGTAATCTAGGGTCACATCACATGGCTGATTGTACCGAAGCGATTGATCGAAGTGGTTGACAACCACTCACAAGTGGTGGACCCCACCCATCCCATGTGTGAGAGATTGTCAACAAACTCATCCCCCTCCTCCCTGTACAAGTAGTATAGCTCTCTCTAATTTATTAAGATATTTATGCTCAACTTCCAATTATACCCATGTGTTGATGTTTGTGTATTTGTGGAGNGTACAAGTAGTATAGCTCTCTCTAATTTATTAAGATATTTATGCTCATCTTCGAATTATACCCATGTGTGGATGTTTGTGTATTTGTGGAGTAGAGGGCAAAATTGGGAAAGAAAATGAAAAACTACATTGCATACAATAATAAGTCATATTTGTGTAAGATGAAATTGATTGAAGCAGTAACTTTTGGACCTACAATAATCATATATTTTTTCTAAAAATACAGAAGAAATTGCACCCAAGCAAGCGTTTAATGTTATTAGATACTCATTTTTCTATTCGCCCACCGTATATTGAAAGTTTTGAGATTCATTTAAAAGAAAAAATGTGTCAAGAAATCATTGATTTGATAAATAATGATCCACGAAAATAGAAAATATTATTCTAAGAGATACTACTCGCAAAATGTAAGCATGCAAGCTTAGCATGTTTGGCAAAGTTTAGTTAAATATATTTTTTTATCCATGCTTTTTAAGATTCGTAATTTTCTATTCACTTATTATTCACTAGTGTGGGCACGTGCGATGCACGTGTTGCCGTTTAATTGAGTATTTAATAGTGTGGAGTGATTTGAAGTTATTTTTTTAGTTACTGTTCAAAGATAAAATGTGTCTTGTTTTGG